CCCCCACAGCAGGCTGTGGCCACGCCGCCCAGCCCGCTGCAGCCATGCTGCCTGGCCCAGCCCGCTGGAACACGCTGTGGCTGTGCCACCTGGTCTGGCCCGCCGGAGCGGCTCCGGCCAGACCAGAGACATTCTCCCCAGATAAGGTGGGAAGGGATGGGCTGGGGAGAGTGTGGGGGTCCCGGGCTACGGGTGGGGCCACGTTTGGGGGTGGTCACAGGGGTTACTCCCCTGACCCCCAGCTTCTCCTCCCCCCAAAATTTCCCCACCAGTTGCTATCCCGGCCTGCCAGGGTAAGCCGCTGGCGTGCCGGGACACTTTGTTTACTTAGGTTTACCTCCATGCCTGCGGACGCTTGAAGTAAACAAACTGTCTCGGCCCATCCTGATGGCCCGGGAGCCAAAGTTTGCCAACCCCTGAATTATAGGGTCAGCTTATGAACGGGTCATAAAAATTTTCCATTTTTACTTATCCATCCTGGGGGGGGGGGGGTGGCTAATAAACGAACCAGCTTCTGATCGAGTATATACGGTAATTTTGTATTATCTTCAAAGGTTGCCACCTGCCTGTTTATCCCTTTCTCCAGATCATTTATAAATATGTTGAACAGTATAAATATCTGTCCCAGTACAGATTCCTGGGGGACACCACTATTATTTATCCCTCTCCACTGTGAAAACTGACCATTTGTTCCCACCCTTTCTTTCCTGTCTTTTAACCAGTTACTGATCCATGAGAGGACCTTCCCTCGTATCCCATGACTGCTTACTTTTCTTAAGAGTCTTTGGTGATGGACCTTCTCAAAGGCTTTCTGAAAGTCCAAGTACACTATATCCACTGGATCACCCTTGCCGAGCCCCTCAAAGAATTCTAATACATTGGTGAGGCAAGATTTCCCTTTACAAAAGCCATGCTGACTCTTCCCCAACATATAACGTTCATCTCTGTGTCTGATAATTCTGTTCTTTACTATATTTTACTTTCAACTAATTTCCCTGGTACTGTAGACTTATGGGCTGTAATTACCAGGATCACCTCTGGAGCCTTTTTAAAAAATTGGCATCACATCAGCTATTCTCCAGTTCTCTGGTGTAGAAGATGATTTAACAATAGGTTACATACCAGTTAATAGTTCTGCAATGTCACATTAGGAGTTCCTTCACATCTCTTGGGTGACTGACTACTATTTAATTTATCAATTTGTTCCAAAACCTCCACTAGTGACACCTCAATATTGGACAGTTCCTCAGGTTTGTCATCTAAAAAGAATGGCTCAGGTGTGGGAATCTCCTTCACATCCTCTGCAGTGAAGACCAATGCAAAGAATTCATTTAGCTTCTCGGCAATGGCCTTGTCTTCCTTAAGTGCTCCTTTAGCACCCTGATCATCCGGTGGGCCCACTAATTGTTTGGCAGGCTTCCTAATTCTGATGTACTTAAAAAAAATTATATATTCCACAATGTATGTGGAACTTGAACATAATGTGATTCAGATTACCTTAGCTTTTACATTTTCTAGCTTTTGATTAGACTCAAAGTTGACACAAATATTACATGTAGTCACATTTTTATATTTTAACTGACCTATACTCTTTTTAAAGAAGGATAAAGAAAGCTAAAACAAGCCTTATATTGCTAACTGTTCATTTGCAGAGCTTGTAACAGAGTCATATAGAAAACATCTGGTTTAATGAGACATTTTAAAAATACCTTTCTCGTAATTTTTTCAGTTCCACATCTCTTTCACTTATTAATTCTGAGATACTAACAAAATAATTGTGTTCCAGGTTTAACAGAGTTTCAGAAGCTGGAGAATGTATCAGATCATGGTACACATCCGCAAAATCTTCATCCCAGCTGGGTTCTTCAGGTCTTGCATGTTCTAATGTTGTCTAGAAAGTAATAAAGTCAAATATTTTAAAGAATGCTATGGACATTTTTAAACACACAGAACCAAAGTCATTTAAAATGACAGAGTTAATTTTTGTGCCAATGTACACTGTTCAAAATTTAAAAAATTTTCCTTTTCTAATTTGGCTTCTCTCCCCCATCTACTTTTATCTTTGAAATTTTCTCTTTCTCCTCCATTTCCCCATTCCATCTTCTGTTTTCCCTTCATTTCTATCACAAACATTCTCTCCCCCAGTACATTAGGGTGGAAACAACAGAACAGGGACTGCTCAACCTCCAAATGTGGATGAACTGATAATCATAAATAACATTCTCTACCTGAAACGGAGTTTGAATAAAAATGATTTATTATCTCCTACCTGTGAGAACACTTAAAAAAAATCAGTTAAATCATTTCCAATTGGATCTCTTCAACAAAAATTCTTACTGATCGGTGTAAATAAGGGGCCAACACATCAGCATCAATAGGAAGTGTCTTAGGCAAAGTACAAGGATAAAGTCTGCCCCCATTTACACAGACTTCAATGGGAGTTGCTGCCCTTTAATAAAGAAATTTTACCCTGAGGGCTCATTTCTGCAAATTCTTACTGAAGTAGTCCTTTCATGGATAGTTCCACGGACATGATTAAGAACTTGCAGAATGAGCCCTCAGATTTTATCTGAATAGCCAAATTATCACCATGTGGGGTGACCAGTAAAACTGAATTTCAGTGTAATTTCTAATGCTGCCTACATACATTTTGAAAGACTTCACACGTAGCAAACCTTTGGAAATTCATATTTCAGAAAATTTGTTAGTCTCTAAGGTGCCACAAGTACTCCTTTTCTTTTTGCGTCTCACCTCTGAATAAGCTTTAGCCCAAGCATTTGCCAGCTGGTGCATATCCACTTCTCCTGATTTCACAGCTTCCAGGGCCGCCTCTGCTTCTTTATCATAATCTTTTATGGATTCTCCTTCTATGAACTGACTAAGAGATTGCTTTAAGTCTATTGTAATAAGAAAAGAATGTGCTATCAATCAGAGTTTACTATGAATAGTTAAAATAAAGGAAATTTCTAACAACTGCATGAACATGTACTTTAAAACTGCTAAATTTACTTGACCACGCTCCTTCCTCGTATATTAATATGCAGTCAAACCATAAAAACAGCTAAATATTATTAAAATTCCTTTTAAAATCTTTTAGAAATAATACTCTTTTGCTTAGTCTGTCACAGCACATTAACACACATAAAGAAAAGGAGTACTTGTGGCACCTTAGAGACGAACAAATTTATTTGAGCATAAGCTTTTGTGAGCTATAGCTCACTTCATCGAGCTGTAGCTCACGAAAGCTTATGCTCAAATAAATTTGTTCGTCTCTAAGGTGCCACAAGTACTCCTTTTCTTTTTGCGGATACAGACTAACATGGCTGCTACTCTGAAACCTGTCATTAATACATATGACACTGATCATTTACAAACCCAATTCTCACCATTTTCTATGAAGGATGGTAAATTGTGCAGGAGCATTAGACGTCCATGCAAATGACTGGCATTCTCTTGCACAGGAAATTTGATAGGCACTGTAAGCACTAAGTGCTGATTTCCAGCATTGAAGTTATACAAAAACTCTCTTTCTCTAGTGTACATTTTTCCTTTATTGGCCTTCATCTTCTTTTGTTGGTTTTCTGCATAATAAGCAAAACAGCATGTTGTATCGTTTATATATTCACATATTCCAAATGTGAACAAAAGGAAACACAAAACGTGATTCTGGCAATAATTAAAATATTTAGGGAAGTGGAAATAATAGCCAATTTTTTTTTAAATTAATTTTTTTTAAAAATACATTGAGGGCAGGTCTACACTATAGCCTACGCTGATATAACTTACATTGCTCAGGGGTGTGAAAAAGCCCCCCCAGTGAGCGACGTAGCTTCTGCTTCTCGCCAAGATGGAGTAATTATACCAACTGGAGAGCGCTCTCCCATCAGCATAGTGTATCTTCACCAGATGCGCTACAGCCGATGTAGTGCCATAGTGTAGACTTGCCCTAAGACACCTAAAAATCACAATTAGGTACTTAATAAGGTGCTTGATTTTCAAAAGTGCTGGGCACCTGGAAGCTTCCACTAATTTTAATGACTAAATATGGATTTAGCACCCATTTCTGAAAAACTTGGCTTAGGCCCCCAAACTCAAGCATGTGATGGGGTAGTGCACATTGCCATAATTAGTCTTGCTGAAATCAAACACTGCGTCCAATAGTATGCATTTGTAGGTTCAGGCCCAAAGAGAGCATACATGTTAATTAGGATTTCACTTCCTCTTAATGCAGATATATTAAAACAGGGAGGGAATATTCGGGGGTAAGTGTAAATTTTAGAATAAAAAATGTTGTTTTGAGGGGTTTACACAGAAGTAATAGAATAATTTTAACAAGACCTCAGTTACAAAACCTAAAATGAATATTTGCATGAATTTAAAAACACCACAACTTAGAAGTCTGTTTGTATTTAAACGGTCCCTGGCAAGGTTTGCAACTCAAACCTTACAGCATTGTACTAGTTCAAGAGAACAGAAAGTGAAACTGGCTAGTTTATTTTCATCATCCAAACTTGGTGAAGTGCAAAAAGTAACCACGTTTTATAACCACATACATTAATGAAACAGGGTGGATGGGACGACAATGTCCCCGGTGCTTATGTGAGCAGAGGGGACCTGGTGCAGATAGAACTTCTCTGGCTGCATTAAAAGAGGCTTGTCACCCGCAGAGCACCATCCTACTATGCGTGGGAAGCTGGATCCTGGGATTTTTGAGGGTCGGGGTAAGATGGGGTGGAGAAAAGCTCTCTAGGGCACCACTGCACAAATGAAGGAAGGAGTTGATGATGTCTGAGGTTTTAGCCTCCTCCTCTGACACACGGTTCCCTAGGTTAAATTGGGGATCAGACTCAATGACCACAACGCTCCTTCCCCGACCGGCAGCGCTGGAAAGGCTGAATTAGAGCCACGGGTTTCTGTCCCCACGGGCCAGCACGACCCACGCGTGAGAGCCCCAAGCCCGGCGCTGCTCGCACTCGGGGCGTGGGGCGCGCGGCTCGGGGCGTTGGGGCTCGGGGATGAGGCGGCCCCAGCGCCGGGCAGAGCCTCCGCCCGCAGGCCCCGCGGAAACACCCGACGCTGCCGGCTCCTTACCCCGCCCGCTGTTTCAGCCACTCGCGCCAGGCCCCGCTAGGAGGGGGCGGGGGACCCCGGTCGCGGGCCTGGCCCCTCGCCGGCAACTGAGCCGAGCCGGGCCGGCGGTGCTGGGCTCCCTGCCCAGGGCGGCGCTAGTGACGGGGGGGAGGGGCTGTTCCCGGGAGGGGGAGGGGAAGCCCCTCCCTCACCTGAGCCCCGGCCGGCGGGGGCGGAGCAGCTGGCGGGGGGGGGGCGGCGCGGCGCTGCCGCTCCCGGCGGCTCCTTCGGATCTGGCGCCGCAGATTCGCCTCCTCCTCCCCGCCTCCTTTTTTGTGCAGGTGACGAATGTGCCGGGGCTGCGCGAGCGGGGAGAGGAGCGGCCCGCCCGGCGGCTGGGGAGCCGGCGCCGCCCCGCCGCGATGGAGAGGCCGGTCAGGAGGTGGGTGCCCGCCCACACACACACACACACACACACGGGGCAGGGGGCCGCTGTCCCGGCGCGGACCGTTACACGGGGATCCCTTGTGACCAAGCCGCCAGGGCGCAGCCTGATTCTCGCTCACCCCCTGTTAGCGCGGGGGTGGCTCGGATTCCCGGGGGCACTTCAGCGCCGTGGACTGGGGGGAGGGGGGGGGAACAGTCCTCTGGATCCCCCGCTAGCGTAGCCCTTGGTCCTGCCTTGGCGGCGTGGTCGGTTCCCGCGCCTGTGGCCAGGCCCGGGGGGCGCCGCTGGGGGGGGAGGGGTTGATCGTCTGACGCCGTGTCTAGCTCACTGGTGTCCGCTTGCGCCCGGCCCTGCTGTTACATCGTGCGCGCGCGCCGCGCCTGCGGACCGCGTAGGTGGTGCGGGGGCCTCACCAGGCGCCATTGGGTGGATTGTCCTGGCCGCGCGGGGCATTGTGGGGTGGCTCCTCGAAGCTGGTAGCCGTTGGCGCGAGCAACGCGCTGTCTTTGCTGACCTTACAGCGACTGAGACTCTGCGCCACTGGGGGAAACGGGGTTGCTCAGGCCATGTTTGCGCTACAGGGTTAAGTTGACTTAAGTTACGGTGTTGATCGTAAGCCGCTTTAATTCCATCAGTTGCGCCCCTCTGTACAACCGCTCTTCCTGTCGGCAGAGCACGTTCGCCAGGCGGTGCTCTTGCCTGGACAGAGAGTGTTGCATTGTCCGTAGCGATCTCCCTGTGCCATTTGCCACTCTCGGCCGCTGGCAGGTCTGGGAATGGGTCACAGTGCATCATGGGCAAGGTTATGTTTGTGTGACAGAGGTCGCGGAATCCGCAACTTCCAGAGACCTCTGTGACATTTTCCACTTCAGCCACAGGGCAGTGGGGCTGGAGCTGGAGCTGTCATTCCTTGTCCCTGCCCTTTCCACTTCAACCCCTGGGTGGCGAGGGGACCCCCTGCAGCTCCCCAGCTGCCCCTGGCGGTGGGGGAACCCCCGGAGCCCCAGCAGCTGTGGGTGCTGGACCATCCTCTCCCTCCTCATTTGTTCAGGGATATTTTTAGTAAAAGTCAGGGACACGTCAGGGGCAATAAACAAAAATTCGCAGAAACCTATGACCTATCCCTGACTTTTACTAAAAATATCTGTGACAAAATTTTAGCCTTAATCATGGGGTTGTGCTCACCATCCCATGATGTAGTTCTTTCTCTCCAATCATTCCATGGGCTTCTGACTTCATTTCGTGCTGTTTTTTAATAGCCTCTGTAAACTGCACTTGCCATCTCTGCCTGAAACCATCCTGAACTGCTGATCAGTCTGGTGATAAGTATTATGAACCCAAAGCACCTGGTCCTGCAGTATTTCATGAGCTGGGAAACAGAAGGTGACTCTGTGGTGCCTGCCCTGCTGTGTGCAGTGGAAAGAAACAATTCAAGATTGTACCTGGTAATCATGGAGTAGCTGCACACTATTGACTGTTGCTACTGGCCTCAGGTAACAAGCCCTGAGTGGTGGGATCGCATCATGATGCATGTCTGGGATGACAAGCAGTGGCTGCAGAACTTTTGGATGTGCAAAGCCACCTTCCTGGAACTGTGTGCAGAGCTTGCCCCTACCCTGTGGTGTAAAGACACCAGAATGAGAGCTGTCTTCACAGTGGAAAAGCAAGTGGAGATTGCTGTGTGGAAGCCAGCAACTCCAGACTGCTTCCAGTCAGTTGCGAATCAGTTTGAAGTTGGAAAGTCCACCCTGAGGGTTGTGGTGTTGTAAGTGTGCAGGGCCATCAGTCGCCTCCTGCGACGAAGGACTGTGACTCTGGGTGATGTGCAGGAAATACTTGATGGCTTCGCAGCAATGGGATTCCTTAACTGCAGTGGGGCAATAGATGGCACGCACATCCCAAATTTGGCCCCAGACCATCTTGTAACAGAGTATAACAACCGAAAGGGCTACTTCTCCATGGTCTTGCAGGCACTGGTGGAACACTGGGGCCGTTTTACTGATATCAATGTAAATTGGTCAGGGAAGGTTCATGATGCACGCATCTTTAGGAACGCTGGACTGTACAGAAAGCTGCATGCAGGAACTTTCTTTCCCAACCAGAAGATTCCAATGGAGGATGTGCAAATGCCCATCGTGATCCTGGGAGACCCCACCTACCTCCTGCTCCCATGGCTCATGAAGTCTTACACTGGGAACCTAGCCAGCAGCAAGGAGCTTTTCAACAACAGGCTCAGCAGGGGCCGAATGACCGTTGACTGTGCCTTTGGCAGGGTAGACCTCAATGAGGACAATATTCTGATGGTCATAGCAGCCTGCTGTCTTCTACATAACATTTGTGAAGCGTTGGGGGAAAGGTTTCCCCAGGGATGGAGCGCTAAGATAAATTGGCTGGCTGCTGATTTTGATTAGCCAGATACCAGGCCAATTAGAGGGGCTCAGCAGGGGGCTATTCGAATCAGGAAGGCTTTGAAGGAGCATTAAGACAATGAGCCCCAGTAATGTGTCTTTCTGTGATACATTCGGCCAGGGAGTGTTTACATGCTTCCTTGAATGACTCCTGTAAGGCTTGCTTCCTGGGCTTTAATTGTAGTGAGCAAATGTTCCTCTGCTTATAGCCACTGTATTTGAATTTTAGCAACGTTTAGCCTACGTTTTTCATTAACTGTCTCCCTCCACGCTTTTGTTTTGCTATCTGCTGTATGTGTTGACTGCAGCACTTTGCAAAACATATTCTCCTTACTACACCTGGTTCGCCTCCTTATCTGACAGAGGTGCTCCACCGGGGTGTAGGAGATGGTCCTCAAGGGCACATTTGCAGAAGCCAAGGAAATAAAGAATAGAGACAGTATTGTGAGTTCACTGACAGCTGTGAATCATAAAAGTCACATGTACCTCTTTCTCACTGTCTTTTAGCTAGCACACAGCTGGACAAGAGTCCAAAATAGGGTGAGTTCGGCAGGGGTGGAGTGGGGGAGAGGGGAAGATGTTAGGAAGAGGGAATGGGCAAGAATGGACAAAGATTCTGCGTAGTTTGTTGTGGCGGTTCAATACAAGACAGGGCACAGCTTTAGACAAGCAAGCAGGCTGGTCTGCTGATGGGATTACCCCTGTCAGCTTTTCCACCTCTTTTATTTCTCTCCCCCCTGCGCATCACATACCCCAACCGACCGCAAAAGGCATCAACAAAGGAAATAATATGACTTTGATTAATATTCCTATTTACTAGCCTCTATCTACTACAATCTTTATTCTCAGGCCTTGAGCTTCGGCCGAGGAAGCTTCCCACGGCTGATGTCCTTATTTTGACTTCCCAGATGGTCCATGTTTTCATGGTCCATGTCCTTGGATAGAACAGAGCAATGTGTGCATTGCTCCTACACAACAGTCAGGGTGTGCCCTGACTGTTTCCAGGTGCATGAACGCTACATGAACCCTTCACCCCCCCTTTTGTTATTATTATGCTCGGCCATCTCATGGTAGCCATCGATTTGCTTTTGTAAGTGATTCAACTCCCGGACAGACAAGGACATAACTCGCGGAGCCTACCAGGGCGGATCTCTGCAAAGCCTTAGCAAGGAGGGAATACATTGTATACAGCAGCAGCAAAATGTAAGCCCAACAATTACAAACACAGCATAACCGAAAAGTTGTCGCAGCCATTCTAGAGAGGGCAGCCATCCTGTAAGCCAATTCCAAAAGCCCTCAAACCCCAGATCTTGGCGTATGTGTGCTGTAAGATTGGCCAATTCGGCCAGTCTAGTTTCTATGGAGCGACTATTATCAGTTAAATTAAAGCAACACATGTGCTGAAACGTGGAGCAGCCTAGATGGTGTTTCAGGAGCAAAAAATCAATGGCTGCTCTGTTATCCAAAATTGCATCCCTTAATTCTTGTTGCTCTGTGTTAAGTAGGGCAATTGCCTGGGATGTTGTATTAATTGCCTTTGCCGCAAAGCATGCCAGGTTATTTAAAGTTCTGGCTGTATAAATGGCAAGCGCGGGGACCCCAACAATAGAGGCCGCTAAAGCAGTATACTCAGCACGACTAAAAAGCTCAACATCTGCAATACAATCATCTGAAAGGGGTACACTTCTTCTACTACGTTTTTGACCAGCAAAAGGCAATATAAGTGTCATTCTACTAAGACAGCAAAGGGTGCCATCACTTAAATTTGCAGGAATATAATTAAAGGTGCGTGAACCGCAGGTAAAAAACCATCCTGATGGTAGGATGATATGGCCATAATTGTATGAAACATTTACGGCGTGGGAACAATTTAAAAAGGGTTGAGAAACTTGCCGACAGCCCAAGGGCACCCTTGTACTAGTGCAGTTAACCACACGTGCACAGGTGACATTGTTGGCCCCGGCCGGGTACGGTGTGTGGAGGGATATGGCCGTGTGAGACAAAGTATAATTGGCCGGGCCCCAATTAGCCATACCAGAGTATTGGGAAGAGAGATTCGCGTAAGCAGCGAGCATCGTCTCATTCCCTATTTCTTCAGGATGATGACATACTGGGATAAGGCATGTACCCAACAATTCTCCAGCTGCTACAGAATTAGATAAACAAAAGTGGGTAACATTTGCTATTGAAGCCAATCTTTCCCATAGGTTATATGTCATTCGGGCTCGTAACGGAGAAAGCGCTCCCGAGCCAACCCCTACAGGAAATAGCAGGCACAAAAGGCATACAATCAATACAGAATTAGCAGTAATTTGGGCAAGAATTGCCACAAACAAAGTCTCAGGAGTCTCTGGCTGTTGGTTTGCTGCCAGCCGTCGTTGAGCCGCGGCGACCAATGCTTTTACTGCTCCCCATGTCACGGGCTGGCTTGGGACACTATGCCTCTTCCGTTCCTGTCCCTTCGTTGTCGACCCAGGAGGCACCGCGCCCTCCTCCAGGGTCAGCTGAAACTCCGGTATGGGGTTCGATAGTCCCTGGTGCCGCGTCATGCTGCTTCAGTGCCGGTCGCACACACCGGGCCGGAAC